TTTGATGCTCAGCAGGGTGGTGTTTTCCCATTCCCAAAGCCTCCTTTGCACTGTGGTGCCTTCCCAGTCCAGCACAGTGCCCATGTGGGTAGGCTGGAATAGCTAACCTTGCTGCTGCTGCAGGTGGAAGAGCTGACAGGCTGCATAGAGCTGACTTACACACTCTTTATCTCTGCCTGCGTTCCTGGGAGCTTGTGCACGCAGGAAAGGAAGCAATGTTCACACATGTCCTTCAAAGTCGCTGTGACCACACTAGTCTGTGAACCACGCAGGGGTAGGAGATTGCAACCATAAATGGGCTCCTTGGGGCTGGAGCATCGCTGGCAGGAGGAAAGCTGCTGGAATTTCCTATAAAAGCCAGTTAATGGAGACCCAATCCTTTTGTGTATGTGCATGTCTGAATATTGGACAGCAAATTCAAGGCTTTGCTGCTCCAGAGTCCTGAACCTTACAGAGTCTCCTGCAACCATTAAGGGATCCTGTAGCTTCTGACCCAGGCTCTAACTGCCCAGCATGGAGCGTAAGGGCTGGAGTGAGGAAGAGCACCAAGATGGAGCTGTACAAGGGCTGCATGTCCCAAAACACCACACCCCAGAGCCCCTGGTTCCCAAAGTCCACTTTGAGGGCAGACCTTGGCACAACTTTGGTGCCATCCTGCAACACAAAGTGGTGACAAGATACCCCCATGGCCTCCGGGTTCTCTCATCGGCTTGGGAGATGCTGTTGTGATTGTCAGCAAGGACAATATCTCTTCACTGATGCTGATGCTGTGTGTGAGGGCTGAACCAGCACCAGTACCTATCAGCAGCTCCAGCAAGGGCTGCAGCTCACCTCTGAGGGGCTAAAACTGATCCTGCAAGGAGCTTGTGACCACTGACCTTAAACTCCTGATTCTGAGAGCCTAACAGTGGGGAAAGAACGCCAGCAAGCCGCTGGCCTTAAAGGGAAAGCAGGATTGCAGGGTACATGCTCAATCCTCATTTTCATTTTGGTTGCATGGATGGGATCTTTGCTTCATTAGTTTGCATCTAGATCTATTCTTGCAAAAGAATATGGAATATAGGCCCAATTCCTATTCAAATATTTAACATGTCTCCTGTTTCCTGCTCTCTCCTCTTGAGCTGCAGCACCACAGCTATGGTCATCCATAAGCACCTTGATTAGGTGACCTTTGAAGGTTCCTTCCAACCCAAACTATTCTATGATCCCTATGTACAGTCTCTGACACAAGGTGACCTGAAGTCCCTCCGGACTCGTGGCTGTTTGTAAGGGTGGTGGCTGCAAAGGGGTCGGGGTGGAAGAGCAGCGAGTGTGGCAGCAGCGTCTCTTCTCCTTTCTGCAGATAAAGCCTCGAGACGGATGGTGCATGAGGCATGAACATGGCAGGGGATGGAGAGGGCCTCTGGAGCAGGGGTTGTGGTGGACACAGGACCTGCAGGGGCACGGTGGCGATGGACAATTACTGTCCTTTCCAATATTGCCACCTAGAGGACCTAGAAAGGACAAGAGCTCAATGCATGAGGTAAGGAAGAAGAATCAAAAGCTTGCTTCTCTTTTAGTTTCCCTCCCATAAATGCTTCCCCAGCATGGCACAAAGACAGAGAGCAGCCAAGTGCTGTCTGTGCCTTGGCTGTCAGGATACAGCATTGCTTTAGAAGCAGCACTGAGCATTTTTGAGGCTGCAGATACCCAGCATTGGCCCATTTCCCAGCAGTTTAGTGGTCCCCACATGAACCAGGTAGTGCAGTAGCTTGACTGAAAGCTCTCCCTCATCAGCTCAATCTCACTAGAAAATAAACACTATTGTCTCTTGTCCCACTCCTGTGACTTCCAGGAGCACAGAACACCCATGAGCAGCATGATGCTGGACAAGCCCTTCTCACCTACAGACTCATGGTACCTTCGTGAGCTGCAGTCAAGGCTTTGGCAAAGCCCAGCCTCAGAGCTCAGGACCCACCACCCCACATGAGGACCACAGTCCCTTTGAAAGCAGAAGTGAATCCCCTCAGCTGTCTGCTGCTGTGGATGGGAGACAAGTGTTTAAGTAGGTTTCAGGGGCCATGAACAATGTACTTTTATACCATCCAAAAGCCAGAGGTTGTCCTTTGTGAATCAAAGCCCTCAAAACCAGGTTTAGGTGCCCTCTATATTGAACGACTGTAAAGCATTTGAACAACTAACCTCTTCGGCTGCTCTGCCAGCACATAGCATCAAAAGTATGGTTCAGATGGGAGACAGAGGGTGGAATCACCTGCAAATTCAACAAGAACACAGGACATGAAAGCCCACGAGAGCTCAGCAGCCTCGAGCATGCAAACACCCTACGTTCTGCCTTACGCGCTGGCCAAAGGCCGTGGACAAACACCTGAGGAGGTCAAGCAGCACGTTGTCACTTTGCTACAGATTTATTTCCGTGGGAATTAATGAAACTGTACACACAATTCCAGAAAAAAAAAAAATAGATCTTTTATAGGCCCATAATCCTTCTTTCACAGTACAACGCAACAGTAAGGGATTTAGTCAGTGTAAACAGAAGGTCCAAGAGTGATCATCAGCTATCACACATCAGCTGCACAAACACCACAACTACGGAGTTAATGCCATTACCACACACAGACAGTACCAGGACAAATCATAACTTTACCACAATGCTTTTTCATGTGCAAAAAGCCATGAAAATTCAATTTACAGACAGGCACCTTCTCTAAACCTTTGTGGGTGCTGGAAACTGCCTCCTCGGGGCTGCCTTATCTGTTTGTCAAAAGGTCTTCAAGGTACCCTTACCTTCACCTGCAGCACACAACCCATCAGTGCCTCTGAAAACCAGGCACTCGTGTGTTCTCTGCTGCAGCAGGATAAGAAAACAACCAGCTGAGGAGGAATCCAAGTCATTTATTAAATCATTCCTGAATTTCAGCTTAGATTCATTCCTTCACCAGGACTATTCCCAACAGTCCTGGTTCTGTGGATCATAAGAGTTCACAGAACCAGAGCAGAACCATCCTGCACCAGCGCCAGCTTTGTAAATTGAATTCATAGTCAGATGCTACAGGAAAAAACAAGAGGTAGTTCTTTATCATACCTCTTTGAAAAGGCAAACCAAACAAGGAACAGGATGTCAAAGTGATGCAGTAAACCTAAAGGCAACAGGTACCTACTGTATTTTCTTTTACTTTTGGGGTGGGTTTTTTTTAAACACACGAAGTTAAGTTACAGACATCATAGAAAATGCACACTTTATGGAATTCCTGCATAGTAGGAAACAAAGAGGCTAGCACTAATCCAACAGCTATGTTAACAGCGAGACTGCCGCTTACCGGTGCAAGGAAGATGCCCTATCTAAATAGTAACAGAGCCTCCCCCCTTCTTAGAGGAGTCCTATGGCAACACTGAGACATTTTGTTCAGAAGGAAAAAGAAAGCATTTTCTTGGGGTTAAACTGCCAAAAGAATTCAGTTTCACATGTGTCAATTTTAAGGCAATGTTACTGAGACCTGAGAAAATGAAAAAGCAAAAAAGAAAGTGTAAGTTTCTATTCTCAACTCTTTATATACACACTTGAAATTTCCTGTCTGCTCCAGCTCTCAGGTGGTGCTGGGGAAAACAGCCACGGGGACACTGCTGTGAGGTCTCAAGGTCGCATCCTGAGAGATGCAGTTTGTTCCAAGGAAAGCTAATGGGAGTGCTCGGACTCGCCCGGCTCTTCTCCAGATATTCTCTCTTTTAAACACCTCTGTTGAAGCTCTCTGGAGAGGGTGAACTCCAGAACAGGCCTGTAGTGCACCGGTAACCCTGAATGGTTTGTATAGCCAAACTGTAGCTAAAACAGACAACAAAATTACATCCAGGAAATTGCTGTGATTCCCCCTTGTCAGGAGAAAAAGAAGGATGTCAGGGTTAACAGTTTCACTGCACCTTTAGCCATTCCCATAACGACAGAGCAAATCCTTTCACACGAGTGTGAAATCGCCAATCGTTCTGTGCTCTTCCTTGGAGAAGAAGAGTTAAAATGAAAATTCAAACCCAAAAACATCAACTTGCAAACATCTCTCGTTAAATGGTAAGAGACACGAGCGAGATGGGGTGGGCATTGCAGACACACAGCATGCTAAGGAGTTATGACACAAAGTGCAATGGTTTTTGACTCTGCAGGAGGACGGATGGGCAACTCCCCTTCAAGTACCACCTCGATGCTCAGTAAATGCCTCTGGAGAGGTCCGGAGGTACCGTGTCAATCTGTAGCTGTAAAGCTTGTGTTTGAGGCTGGCCAAGCTCCATGGCCCCGGGTGCAGCTCCGCACATCTCAGCTACATCTGTGACTGCAGGAGGAGAGATTCGCGCACACAAAGACACGGTCACTTCCCAAAACGTGGAATTGAGTTGCCAGTTGAGGATTTGATGGTTGGTTCTAGAAAGCTGCTTGAGCCCCATCTGAAAGATGGACTCAGCCCTAAAATCTGTGTAGTTTCTGTGGGATCAGCTCCTTCTCCTATACACGACTACAGGCACAAACCATCCCTCCCTCCTGCTCCCATCCGAGCAGCCAGGCACACACAGTCCTTGCTATCAGCTTTGGCCAGTGCCTGCCATTAGTCCGCTCAATAAAGCAGGGCTTGGGCAGCAGGTCACCAAAAAGCAGGAGGGTTCCACATCCCCGCTCAGGTTCCCACAAAGCGAACAAGTTTATAACACGTTTATCACCAGCTACTGCCCGGTGAGAGGGTCTGTGGCAGATTTTTGGCTGATATCTCAAACGTGACCATCCAAAGATCTGAGACCAAAATAAAAGGTAACAATCCTCATCTGAAGAGAAAGCGATTTCCACTGCTCACCTCCCTACCCTCCTCTCCCCAGCTCAAAGGATGAACAGGGAGTCAGCTCCTTTACTTACCCCACTGGGAACTAAACCCTTTGTCAAATCAGGCATTAATGAAGCTTACTGTGTGCAAAAGACTCTTACGCTAAAACAGTTCCACCCTACACAGTGCAGTCAACACAGCTTTAACTTAAATTTGCAGCTTGTTCTTTACAAGTGCTTGGCAGAGAATATTTATATTCTTCTGACACCATATAAATAATATTTATACAGCTTAGACATTTCGAGACATGCATTAGACTTTAGGTAGTACATATTTCTTGATCATATATGCAAATATTACTGTCAATCAAACCAAGCAACCTTATGCTGGACCGTGCCTTGCGTTATCCAGGACGTTTGACGGTGGCTCTGAATCGTCCATGGGAAGGACCAGGCGCGTTCCCCGGATTACGAGTTCATGGTCCCCAAAAGCAAGCTCCCGATCCAGTGCATCCTCAGAGCTGTTGCCCACGAAGCGCCGGGACGTGCCACTGGATGCCACAGAGTCGGTGTTGACAGTGGAGTCCCCGTAGGTCAGACTGATGTCCCCGTCGTTCAAAATGAGGTCAGAGTCATCGTCCTTCAGCTGCTCCTGATTCTGAGCAGCAAACAGGGAGAAAGTGCTGGTTAACTCCTCTTGAACAGCCACATTTACAGCAGCCCTTCCTGCAACTAAAGGGGACCTACTGGGGAGGGGCTTTTTATAAGAGTAAGTGGGGACAGGCCGAGGGGAATGGCTTGAACCTGCCAGAGGGGAGACTGAGATGAGCTCTTGGGCAGAAGCTCTTCCCTGTGAGGGTGCTGAGGCGCTGGCACAGGGTGCCCAGAGAAGCTGTGGCTGCCCCATCCCTGGCAGTGTTCAAGGCCAGGTTGGACACAGGGGCTTGGAGCAACCTGCTCTAGTGGAAGGTGTCCCTGCCCTCGTCAGGGAGTTGGAGCTGGAGGAGCTTTAAGCCCCCTTCCAACCCAAACCATTCTATGATTCTATGAATTAGCTCATCCCTCAGCACCAGTATCTGATCTCCCTACCAAGGCTCCTGGCTCGAACCTGCAGAGCAGCATCCAAAAGCTATGCTGAAATATAAACATGTCAAAGCCCACCCCCCCCATGACAGAAAGGACACCAAGGGACTCACTTCATACGCCTGTGGACTCGTCAGGCACCGGGCAATAGGCCCACAGCACCCTGGCAGTGTGGTGGTCAGCGGGGGCCCGCTGTGTGTCAGCAGAGGCTTCAGATAGCTACAGGGGGGGTTAAGGAAGACAGAGGAACAGGGCAATGTCGGCAAGCTGAGGGGTGGGATGCAGAGGCAGCAGGGAGGGACTCTGTGTCTCAAGGAAATCACAGGAAGAAAAGAAAAACAAGTCCCTGGAAGCACAAAAATTATAGGAATGAGCAATTTGAATATAACCACAGTGGGACACGAGTGCACCAAGACACAGTCCTGGTAAGAAAAGGCTTAGCTGCATCACTTGCCCCATCCCTCCCAGCCTGGCAAATCGCTCCTCCAGTAGTTGATGGCAAAGCATTTGAAAGGGAGGAGGGAACTGATCTAGCAAGAGGGCTACAAATGAGAGGACCCCCTGCCCTTCCTACCCGCCTGCCACCGGGATCAAGGGTCCCCTGGGCTTCCAGCCTTGGAAAGCCAAGCTTTGACCTGAGCTACTGCTGCGTTCCCACTGACAGCGGATGGAAATGGCCATTTCTCACAGCCACAGCCACGAGGAGGTGCAAACCAAAACCCAGCAGGGAGCGAGCCGTGCTCCAGGCCAGCAGAGCTGTTGGGGCAGGCAGGATTTGATGCAGCACACACTGCCCACCATTCAAGGATACTTGTGATCGAAGTTGTACCACATGCGGAAGAGCCAGGCGCTTTCTGCCTTCGTACTCCTCCTCTCGCTCTCCGGGACACCCTGCAGGAGAGTCAGGCATTAAACAGCAGCAGGGAAACGTGCCACAACCTCAGTCAGGGCCAGGGGGCTCCAGGTTATCCCAGGGGGATGTAAGAAGACACACGCCTTCCCACCACCCCTTCAGAAGAAACCCATGGGCTGCAGTGAGCATAAGGACGCTCACACCACAAGAGGCTGAGGTGCTTCCAGCCCACACTCTGCATTTAGCAGCACAGAGCAGCCTTAGGGAGGTGGTATCAAAGCACAGGGTGACCATTTTTTCTGCTAGAGCCTTCCAGTTCCTGGCCCTGAGGTTTAAAGCGCCTCAGAGCCAGCGGCTGCATCCAGGCTTCACATTTAATAGTGACTGACAGGTCCTATCCCCATCCAACCTCGCCTGAGATTTCTGTATGCAAAGAACTGTGTGTGATGGGGACTCCTGGCTTCCTTTTAGGCAGAGTAAAGAATACAAAACACTTTGGAGGAGACTGTGAATACAATTACTTATTCCACAGAAATTTGGCTTTCAGATTTATGGCTCTGGGCTGCCTTTAGCATTTGATGCTTTCTCCCCAGGAGATGAACAGCCCAGTAAATGGCTCTGAATAAAATGAACCTCCAAGGTGCAGAACCCACACTGACGTCAAGTAGAGCCACAGCATGACCAGGCTGCAGGAAAACTCCTGATGCTCCAGCATTTATCTCAGCGTGGCTGGTGGTTCCTGAACTACCCACAGGAAACATGGGGGAAAACCGCCCGCGGGTAAAAGTGGGGCAGAAGATGCTACATGAAATGAGGCAGTAAATGGTGTTTCTGTACTGCCCTGGGTACTGGGATGAGGCAGAGAGCCTCCACGTCATGCATATTTTGGTGTTTATTTCAAACCCAGCCAGGCAGAGACTGAACCTATTGCAGACTCTCCCTGTAATGTGGGAGCATTACTCCCAGCAGTAATGTGGACTGACTGAAAAGTCCAGTGTTGCTTCTCTGCCCTTCTTTCCAAGTGAACAAAAGAAAGCCTCAGTATAACCAGAGAGAGCACAGAAAAGTCCTCACTCCCACTGGCTGCAAACTCTTTCACCAGGGGAGCTAAAAAGTCTCCTAGAGCTGGAAGGGAGCAGAGCTTGATGTAACCCCTGCCAGTTCCTGCCCAGAGGCTGCCCAGCAGCACCACACTCACCACATTCTCCTGGTCTGCATCCACACCGACTCTGTGGAGGAGAAACAAGCACAGAGTTAGCACAAGCGATGCCAGGCGGGTACGTGCTGTGGTCCGAAGAGGAAGATCGTGTCCTTCCTCCCGTCCCTTAGAACTGAGCACCTTAATGTGAGAGCGGGACGAGGGAGCGGAGGTGCTGCAGCAAGAGCGCCCCACACTCACCGGATGTTCAGGCAGGACAGCATGGCCGTGGTGCCCCCCCCGAAAACCCACACGGTGAAGAAGACGATGAGGAGCGTCGGGCTGAACATCATCTGCCGGGCGTACGGGGCTGGGTCGCCGGTGGCCAAGGCTA